GAGAGGTGGACATTGATGACATCATGGACCACAGAGAACTGTCAGTTCCCAGACCAACAGGCAGAGGACGTCCTCCTAAGCCGAAGCTGCAGTATCGAGTTCGGTTTCGGCATTACACTGATCCCAAGGAGGACCGATGGTTTACCAGAGAGGAACTCATGCAGACCGCTCCTCAAGCTGTAACTCAATACGAGAAGTCTCTACGGAAAGGAAAACACCAGATTATCGAAGACTGAACTTCTCACAGGACTATCGAAGTTATGGAGGAGGGAATGCGAGGCCAAGCCCCCGATGAGCCCCTTTTTGGCCCTGTCACTTAATACGTCGGCCGCCCTAAGTGAAGGCAGGCTCGACGAGGGCTTGAGGGCCCCTATTTCGGACACCACGCAAGTGAGGAAAATTCAAACAGTTGCGCAGCGCCAGTTGGTTGAGAGCACCCAGGCCCAGGCCGCCTGTTTGCATGTATGGAAGGCAGGCCTTAGGCTGGATACGGGGTATGGGCCAAACACAAGCCGATGGCAGTTGGGCATAAGTAACCACCACAGGCCCGGGGCCTGATTCGTATTGGACTAGGCCTCAGCCTACCATGGGCCTTCCGGAAGCTTCTTGGGAGAGACACAGCGCAGCCGCAGGCAGGCCACTTCCATATAGCAAAGGGCCTGCCTCCGCATTGGACATTCGGGCACTGGCTGCTTTGTGCGCAAGCGCTGCTGCGTTATCGCCTGTCAGGCTCACGCGCTCACGGGCGAGCTGGAAGGAGCAGGCAGCCATAGCCGAGCTGCACTGCTGTATGTTGGATGGGGCGCATGGTGGTCCTTGGGTGCAGGTGGCATCTGTGAGTTGGGGAACGAGGTTGTGAGTGATACGAGAGACATACCTGGTGCTTGAAGCGTGCGGCATTGGCCGAGATCTGCTCGTACTTCGGGGAGCTGTTGACGTCANGCATTGGCCGAGATCTGCTCGTACTTCGGGGAGCTGTTGACGTCATCAGCGACATTGCAGAGTAGGCTAGATAGGATATGTCATCTGTAGTCTGGGCGCCGAGCGCCAGATAGGATATCAAAATAGGTTCTTCGTTGGTGATGATGATGAGACTATTCCAGCATTGTCAATTATGAGCTGTTGGTGTGCTCTTATTTGGTGAAACTCGTGATGCAATTCTGCTCTTGGTTCGAGGTCACGACTATCTGGTCTTATGTGTATGATGCTGTTTGATTGCTGAAGTTCGCTATTGCTCATCTTCCTTGCACAATATTTGAGTCTTTTGAAAAAGAAAGCACCCAGCCTGCCACCCATCGATCAAAAAACAACAACAATAATAATAAGATCCAGCTGTGTCAGTCTTCTCCTACTGGCCAAGGTGATCAAATTCCCTAGTGTGGCATTCACAGGCCTTCCAGACGGGCCCTGAGAGGCCCGACCTTGGCTATCGGGCCCTAGGGCCACATGAACCACAGTTTGGGGCCTTAGAGTCGTAGTTTGGTCTCTGGGCCTTGGTTATTTTCCTTTCAGATGGTATCTGACATTTCTATCTGTTTCTTCTTTTTTTTTTTTTTTTTTTTGCATTATAACAATCAAATCCGGAGGTCGGGACTCCCTCCACATAACAACCCAGAGATTTGGGGCCAGTACCAAGCTTAGGCTTGATGCTGAAAAGCAGGTTCAGCGTCCCCTTTGCTACTGTTCAACAAAACCAGAGCAACTGGACGAACAAAGAAGAAGAACAGAAGAAATAAAAAAACAGAGGATGAGATACCGATGGAAGGAGGACTGCCTAATCTCAAATGAATGAAGGACTGACATAACACAGGAGAAAGTATAATCGGGTCCAATACATTCTAAAGACTGTGTGAGGATCTGGGTCCTCGGCAGGCCTAAGGGGCCCTGTTGCAAATGTGCCCGCCCTAAGTGAAGGCGGGCCTAACGAATCACGAGAGGCCCTCAGCTGTCAAATTCGTATTCAGGGTTCAGGCAGTTGTGACGCGCCAGTTGGTTGAGGGAAACACAGGCCGAGCAGCAAAGACATTCCACGCCCTTCCAGGCCTTTCCGAAATGCAGGCCCTGGGCGAGAATCGCAGCCTCATACACAGGCAGTTGGGAGGCCCAACTGAACGGGGCCCAGTGGCTGCAACAAAGGAGCAGCCTCCTAAGGCCTACCATAAGCTTCTCGGTCGAGGTCCAGGCCAGCCAGGTCGCGAAGGCAGGCAGGCTCTTTCCATATACAAAAGAGCTCGCGGCTTGGAGAGGCATTCAGCACTTGCATGCTGGCGGCAGCGCTGCTGGAGCGGACGCTCGTAGGCTGCTGCTGGCGCTGAGAGGCAAGCTGCTAGCGTAGGAAGGAGGGCGCTGCTGAGGGCAGCGCCATAGCCCAGCCTCCATAGCTGGATGGGCTTGGACTACAGTGAGGCACAGGGGTGGTCTTCGACTGTACAGAGGGAAGACGTGGGTGTAAGTCGAGGGAGAGAGAGAGAAGGATGATGATGATGATGATGTGAGGGCACATACCTGGTATTGGCGATGGTCTGCATGGGCCACATCTTCAAGTATTTCGTGGGCTGCTGACGTCAACAGTTGTATTGTCAATTAGTAGGCAGACAGTAGCTGTGTAGGAAGAAGGCTGGGCGCCGAGCGCCAAGTAGGGAGAAGGTCCTGGACTCTTGTGTTTGTGGTGGCGAGAGCAATCTCTCATTGACATATTGGTGCAATGCTGCTTTCTGGACATTGTGATACTATCTGGCCTTCAATGTGATTGTGTGTTCTGGATATTGTCATCTTGTTGTTGCTCATTTTCCTTGCAATTTGGTACCAGAGCTGGTTTGAACTGCGCTTCATTGATTCTTCGCAATAGCTGTTTGGTGCTCCGCATGAAGTGTGGGGCAGTGATAAGGCTTAACCGTTGAATGATAGGCGGCCCAAGGTCGTGTGGGCACGCCAGGAAGCTATGTGGTGACATTAGGGGTGTACGCTGGATGATGATAGCTCGCTGATGTGGCATTTAAGCTGAGGTGGAACTGCATTCTTCTGTACGTTGTGCCGAGGCGAGGACCAGTCATCATAAATGCACATCAGGTTGCCGGTGAGAATTATGTGATTGGGGGCAGCATTATGAGGTACGTTGCTCTCTTCCTTATCTACCCTCTTCATTACTTCTTACCGTGAGGAAGTGAGTTCTGTCTTGAGAGTCCTCTCAATGTGAGGCATCGCGAGCGCTCAACCTTGAGAGACGACATTCTTCCTGGGCAGCAAGCTGGTGAGAGACGGGTGAAGCCTCTGAAGGGCCCTGGACGAAGCACTCGGGTCACAGTCACCATGCCAACCCGCTGGGACTAGTACACGCATGCTCTGCCGCAAGTCCTTGGTTCCGCTGCTGCGCAATAAAGGTCATGCAGGGCATGCCAGCCCTTTGAGCAGACGCTCACCAGACCGTATACAAACATTTCTGGCGGGATTCGGTGTTGAACCCTGGCTGTGATCGCCGTCCTATCTGCGGCGTTAAATTATTCCTGAGGACCTTGGGGGCTGTCCTTAAACTGCCTCTTGATCAGCCAGATCAAACCGGATGTAAGGCTCGTTGCATGCGAGGGTAAACAAAGTGCAGGGGCTGGCAGGTTCGGCATAGACTTGGGGCATAGGGGTGGGCCAGATTGCACACCTTCAGACACGCTGCTCAGCCAGATGCTCAGGGCGTTGACACAAAGAGACCACTCAAGAAGGATATAGGGGGAGGGCGGATTCCGGTAACTGTTTCACTGAGAGTTATTAATTAGGAAAATATTCCATCCAGCATGCATCTCTGCAGGTGACACTATTTTTATTTTGGATTATTTTGTTGTTACAGACTTGACTGACAACTAACAGACAACTGCAGATAGTTAATATTCCTTGCTGCATGCAACCTGTTTCAGAGTAATCTAAGAATAAATTTAGTATCCCCTGTAGGATCTGACATTAGTTGTTATTGACCACAAAACTGTTTCTCTCCAGGCTGACCGAAAATAGTTGTTAATCATAGTCGGTTGGGTGTCACGCTGAGGTAGGGTTCAGTGTGGATTCTAGTTTGGATCACACTCCACTGTAGCTCATGCGTGAAGCTGCTAGTAGTGTGGATTCTAGTTTGGATCACAATGGGGTTGAACGGGTTAGTGCAGCAACAGGGCTATGGTAAGAACTTCGATGCCTGGGCTCAGGCCCAGACATTGGAAGACTTTGTACGAACTATGTACAAGAGGTGGCATGATCCTAATGGGGCTCAAAAGGCCACCGACGTGATTAACAATCTTTGTGCCAAAAGGTACAAGAATGTACGCGAGGTCACAAACACCGTATAGCGTCTAATCGTAGTACCTGGTGTGCGTTTTGACCCGCAGGTACTCCTCGCAGATTATTTGAGATGTCTGCCCACGGACGTTAAGAATAAGCTGGTGGACGACCTAGATTGACCAACATAGCTTCTCTACTTTCAGCAAGAAAACCTTAGATATAGAGGCTAAGCTGGGATCCGCGCATCAGGGCCAATTAGATGGTAGGAAAAGGAGACTTCCCTAAGACTGGAGGAAGAAAGGTCAACTCATGTTTGTCGACCATGATGGTCAAGCAACTGAGATTGACGACCTCACAGACTTAGGGGATGAGACAAAGCAAGATGGCGCTAACAAGACTTCGGATGGGGAGTTGTGGCGCCCATCAAGGAGAAAGCTAGGGGGACCGGGAAGTAGAAGGTAGGCTGGTCCAAGGGTCGGGGCGACCAAAGAACGCCCGCATGGGTAAAACTTGGTTTAGACTACGAGGTTTGAAGAGACAAAGTTGCTAGGGGCACGTGCATGAACTGTGGCAACGATGGCCACACGTCTAGAACGTGTCAAGGCAAGAAAGTCACAATGAAGGTAGCCTCCCCAACGGTGGTGGGGTTATCTCTGGACCCTGGTAGTCCATTTGCGAGCACTTCAAAGGGAAACACCTCGGGCCAGTAGGAGTGTTAGTCGCTCTTACTCGTGTTGCAGTGGTAACGTTGTTTTCCCCACTTCAGGCGCTTGCGAAGGCTAGTGACCCATACATCACCCCGCAGACACATTCAGACCCACCGACGCTCTGTTCGAGAGATGTGTCTGAGTCCCTAGAGGAGTTACAGTCTGAGTGATCAAGGAAGGACCCCAAAGAATCTTGGGCGATGATCAGTAGAGGTCCTAAAGGTGAACATTTCGTGGTAGAGGTCGATGTAGAAGGCCGCAAAGTGGGTGCCTTCGCAGACATAAGCTCTACACAAAATTTCATTAGTCGTGCTTGTATGGATAAACTGCGGTTAGGGGACCAAGTGCAGCGGCTTAGCAGAACTATAGCTTCTACGCTAGCCAACAAGCACCAAATGGTAGTCAAGGACTATGTCAGGGACGTAGTCTCTACCTTCTCCTATGGAGGACGGGAAGTGAGACACAGAATCTCATTCCTAGTCAACGACGAACTGCCCTTCGACCCTGCAGTGCATGCACAGATCGCCGAATTGGGGAGGAATTTTGCAGTAATAAAGGAGCATTTCGATGCGGAACGTGCGAAACAAGAGAAGAAAGCCGAAAAGAAACGGATGATGGAGGAGGCGAAGAAACGTGAGGAAGAGGCCAAGCAACAAGAGGCCGAGGAGAAGGCGCGGCGGGAAAGGAAAGCGATGAAAAAACGAGAGAAGGTGCACCAGGAGGCTGAGTATAAAGCCGAGTTGAAGAAGGACTTAGGTATCCAAGTGGCGGTCATGATGAACGAGATGCAAGGTAACCTGGTCGACAATTGGAGAAATATTGTGGGCGGGTCGCACTTGGCTCGCGACACTGATAAAGGGAAGAAGAAAGTCGTGTTTGAATCCGGCGACGAAGTGTCTGCCGAAGGCAGCGGAGGGGAAAGTGAGACTAGTGTAACTCAAGAAATCAGGGAGAAAGCCGAAAGGCTTTGTTTATCAAAGAAACGCAAACGCGGGCCTGACCCAGTATTTGAGGGCAGCCCGCCGATGGAGAAGACTCCAAAGAGGACATTGAAACAGGGAACTTTGAAACCCACTAAGTTGTCGACCCGCATGACTCGTTCGAAGGCGAGAAAGACTGTAAAGACACTTGGCTCTGCCAAGAGGCGTTCTCCTGTCAAGACTCCGCTGTCAATGAGAAGGAAGACCTCGACCAGGGGGAAGTCTCCGAGCGGGATTTTGACTCCATCTTCAAAGGGCGCTCTTGCCAGGCTTCGGTTTATGAACGCAGCCATGAAGGAACTAAAAGACTTCGACGCTTTGGAACTGCAACGGATTTGCAAGGAGGAAGGTATCCACTATGACAAGAAGGTGGACGCCATCTTCGATATTGTCGAGCACCGCACAACACTCGCCTTTGATAGCACAACCGAGCATGAGCTTAAGGTCATTCGTATCACTGAATCTGCGGATGACGGGACCACAAGCGCTCAGCCTGATGCGATTGACGAGTGAAGAAGCTTGAGGTGTTCTCAACTCTGAAATGTGTGTAGATATTTGACGAGCTTGCGCTGTAAATCTTTGACTGTTGATCACCAGATTGATAAGCTGCTTAGATTTACCGTCTTATTGTTGGCTTTGAGTTATGAGATACGCTGGGCCAGGAAGTACATCAACTCTTGGATTACTTTGTATAACAAGCACGGCCTTGAGTTTGTTGAGCTCACTAGTTGCGTGTATATTGCCTTGTCTCCATATTGTAAATCCAGCTATGTAGGGAAGACCATATGTGACGTAGATACGAGATGGCGAGAGCATATTTACGCCTGCAAGGTCCGTACTCGATCGCATTTCCACATATGGCTCAGTATGTTTGGGATTGGAAATTACGTACTGATCCCTGTAGATGTGCTGGTTGGTGAGGATCTATGCAAATTGGAGGAAACCTATATTCGGCGATGGTGTCCGTTCTTGAATTCCATCGGGAATGGTAAATCCATCCGGTGGAACGGGAAGAAAAGTAAACCAGGTAGAAATGAGCGAAGGCGTGCACTTGGTAAGAAGTTGAGCAAGGAGCACGTATTTACCCCCATCCGTTTCCGCTGCGAATCCTCGAACCAGATTGACGTCTCTCGTGAAGACATTTGGTGAGACTAAGATCGCGAGTGGTAAGCTGGTGAGAGTTTTCAAGGAGTGTAAACACCTTTTTGAGGTCGGTGGAACGTTTGAGGTCTTGCATGTGAATAGATGGAAGCCTCATTGCAGTTTCCTGAAAAATGTCCTTGTGACTATTTTAAGGAATCCACGTAACTTGTCGGTTCTGTATGGATGGAGTATGAAATTCGTACTTCGCATCTACGATGTGGTCAAGGATTTTACGCGCAAATCGACCAGAAAATATCTACGCAGATTGATTTCTCGCTGTTTTCGAGATCGTTTTAACTTGAGTCTTTCCGCCGATCTGATTTTTCGTATCAAATATGACGATAGGAATAAGATTTCAAAAGTTCGTCAAGTTGCTAACGATTTGTTAATGAAGTGTGATCTGCCTCGTTGCTTTTTGACTCGGGCACGGAAGAAAATTCGAATTGTTTGGGTGAAGAATCCGTCAATTTCAGAGTTGTTACATAACCATCGTAGTCTCGCGACACTCGGTGTGCTTGCCTGTTCTTGTACAGGTTTACCCTTCCCTCATAAGGAAGGGCATGTTATCTTCCGTCTAAGTGAACTGGATAACGTACATTCTCTAGCTGTCAATGCTAATAATGTGCCACGGGTCAGGTTGGCTAATCGCTTACCTACGCTCTGTGATGAACTATCTCGAGGTTTTCGGGAATGGCGGAACCTTCAGGGTTCGCCTCCGTCCGTCACTCTCGATGTTGTCAAATCCTGCGTCATTAGCTCCGAAGAAGCGGGGAAGTTCCTTGATCTGCAAGTAGTATTAGATCTTAAGCAACGTTTGGATGGTCTAGTCATCACCGCGGTTGACCGGAACCCGGGTGCCCCTCCGAATATTACGATGGGATGCTAAGTACCTGTCTCTTATACACATCTAGATGTGTATAAGAGACAGCCTCTAGCCTGTGTTATGTGTGCTTTTTCTGAATACAGGTTCCTCATTAGCCTTGACTTTTGTTTTCAATCCTGGGTACCGGGTCATTCCAGTATCTGAGGTTGAGAAGCTTCGTGAAATTCGGGAGGATGTTTCGGCAGCTGGTTTGAGTC